ATTCTACCAGACACACAAGGAGGAGCTGGTACCATTCCTTCTAAAACTATTTCAAACAATCCAAAAAGAGGGAATCCTTCCCAAATCATTTTATGAGACCAACATCATCCTGATACCAAAACCCGGCAGAGACCCAACGAGAAAAGAAAACTTCAGGCCAATATCCATGATGAACATAGATGCAAAAATCTTCAATAAAATATTGGCAAGCCGATTGCAACAGCAAATCAAAAAACTTATTCATCATGATCAAGTAGGATTCATCCCAGGGATGCAAGGCTGGTTCAACATACGCAAGTCTATCAACGTAATTCACCACATAAACAGAACCAAAAACAAAAACCACATGATTATCTCAATTGACGCAGAGAAGGCATTTGACAAAATTCAACAGCCCTTTATGCTAAAAACCCTCAATAAACTCGGTATCGATGGAACGTATCTCAAAGTAATAAAAGCTATTTATGACAAACCAACAGCCAATATCATACTGAATGGGCAAAAACTGGAAGCATTCCCTTTGAAATCTGGCACTAGACAAGGATGCCCTCTCTCACCACTCCTATTCAATATAGTACTGGAAGTTCTAGCCAGAGCAATCAGGCAAGAAAAAGAAATAAAGGGTATTCAAATAGGAAAGGTGGAAGCCAAATTGTCTCTATTTGCAGACGACATGATAGTATACCTAGAAGACCCCATCGCCTCAGCCCAAAAACTCCTGAAACTGATAAACAACTTCAGCAAAGTCTCAGGATATAAAATCAATGTGCAAAAATCACAAGCATTCGTCTACACCAATAACAGACGTAAAGAAAGCCAAATCAAGAGCGAACTGCCATTCGCAATTGCTACAAAAAGAATAAAATACCTTGGAATACAACTCACAAGGAACGTAAGGGACCTCTTCAAGGAGAACTACAAACCACTGCTCAACGAAATCAGAGAGGACACAAACAGATGGAGAAACATTCCATGTTCATGGTTAGGAAGAATTAATATCGTGAAAATGGCTATACTGCCCAAAGTAATTTACAGAATCAACGCTATCCCCATCAAGCTACCATTGACTTTCTTCACAGAACTGGAAAAAACCACCATGAACTTCATATGGAACCAAAAGGGAGCCCGCATAGCCAAGTCAATTCTAAGCAAAAGGAACACAGCGGGGGGCATCACACTACCGGATTTCAAACTATACTACAAGGCTACAGTAATCAAAACAGCATGGTACTGGTACCAAAACAGAGATATAGACCAATGGAACAAAACAGAGGCACCGGAGGCAACACAACATACATACAACTATACAATCTTTGATAAACCTGACAAAAACAAGCAATGGGGCAAGGATTCCATGTTTAACAAATGGTGTTGGGAAAACTGGCTAGCCATGTGCAGAAAGCAGAAACTGGACCCCTTCCTGACACCTTACACTAAAATTAACTCCAGATGGATTAAAGACTTAAACATAAGACCTGGCACCATAAAAACCCTAGAAGGAAATCTAGGCAAAACTATCCAGGACATAGGAGTAGGCAAGGACTTCATGAACAAAACACCAAAAGCATTGGCAACAAAAGCCAAAATAGACAAATGGGACCTAATGAAACTCCACAGCTTCTGCACGGCAAAAGAAACAGTCACTAGAGTGGATCGGCAACCAACAGAATGGGAAAAAATTTTCGCAGTCTACCCATCTGACAAAGGGCTGATATCCAGAATTTACAAACAACTCAAGCAGATTTACAGGAAAAAAACAAACAAGCCCATTCAAAAGTGGGCAAAGGATATGAACAGATACTTTACGAAAGAAGACATATATGAGGCCAACAATCATATGAAAAAATGCTCATCGTCACTGGTCATCAGAGAGATGCAAATCAAAACCACATTGAGATACCATCTCACGCCAGTTAGAATGGCGATCATTAAAAAATCTGGAGACAACAGATGCTGGAGAGGATGTGGAGAAAAAGGAACACTTTTACACTGTTGGTGGGAGTGTAAATTAGTTCAACCATTGTGGAAGACAGTGTGGCGATTCCTCAAGGCCTTAGAAATAGAAATTCCATTTGACCCAGCAATCCCATTACTGGGTATATATCCAAAAGACTATAAATCGTTCTACTATAAGGACACATGTACACGAATGTTCATTGCAGCACTGTTTACAATAGCAAAGACCTGGAATCAACCCAAATGCCCATTGATAATAGACTGGATTGGAAAAATGTGGCACATATACACCATGGAATATTATGCAGCAATCAGAAATGATGAGTTCGTGTCGTTTGTAGGGACATGGATGAATCTGGAAAACATCATCCTCAGCAAACTGACACAAGAACAGAAAATGAAACACCGCATATTCTCACTCATAGGTGGGTGATGAAAAATGAGAACACATGGACACAGAAAGGGGAGTACTAAACACTGGGGTCTATTGGGGGGAAAAGGGGAGGGCCAGTGGGAGGGGGAGGTGGGGAGGGATAGCCTGGGGAGAAATGCCAAATGTGGGTGAAGGGGAGAAGAAAAGCAAAGCACACTGCCATGTGTGTACCTACGCAACTGTCTTGCATGCTCTGCTCATGTACCCCAAAACCTATAATCCAATAAAAAATTAAAAAAAAATGCACTTCATAAATGCAGGGAAAATACAAACTTGGACTCTTACCCCATCCCACTCCAGAAACGTTACTAAACATGGATAGTAAATCCAGTAGAAAACATAAGATATTAGTGTTACAGCTTTAGAATAGGCCAAGGTATTTTTGATTAGGATAAAAAGGCACTAATGATAAAGAATACATTGTTTAATTAGACATAACTAAATGTAAAACTTGTATTCCTCAAAAGACAGTCTTAGGAGTGTAAAAAAGCAAAGCATATCTGTAGATTACATATTATATAATATATAGTATAAGTTATATATAAAAATATACATTAATCATATATATGTATATATCTGACCAAAAAAATGAGTGAAATCCAGAATATAACCAGAACTACAAATCAATTTTAAAAAACAAACATTGCAATAAAATGTGCAGAAAACAGCTGAGTACTCATTCATAAGAGTCATACTCAAATATGACTTTAATAATCACATAAAATATACCCAGGCTATGACTGTACTCCATTCCATGAAAATTTATTTGAGATGAATGGGAGATCTAAAAGACAGCTTAGAATATTATCATCGTGGCATTGGGCGAGGCAAAGATTATTCTTAAAATAATAGGAAGCACCAGCCCTAAACAAGAAACTGATTAATAAAATTAAGAGAATCTGTTCATCTAAAACACAATATTGAGATAGTGTAAAAGCAAAACAGATTTGTAGAAGATACTAAAATTGTGTGTGTATTTTAATACATGTACATATATGCCTGTGTGTATGTGTCTAACTGAAACCCAGAACTTATATGTAAACCATGAATCCATTTTTAAAATACAAGTATCTCGATAAAATTTGGAGGAAAAGAGCTGAAAAGGGATTTCGTAAAAGACATATTTAAATGGCGAATAAGCACATTTAAAATGTGCTCTAAAAATAATCAATAAATAGCTGGGCACAGTGGCTCATACCTATAATCCCGTCACCTTGGGAGGCTGATGCAGGCAGAGGCCACTTGAGCCCAAGGGTTCGAGACCAGCCTGGGCAACTTGGCGAAACGCCGTCTCTACCAAAAAATACAAAGATTAGCCAGAATTGGCGGCATGCACTTATAGTCCCAGCTACTCGGGAGGCTGAGGCATGAGAATCGATCAAGCCTGGGAGGTCGAGGTGGCAGTGAGCCGAGATGGTGCCACTGCACTGCAGCCTGGGTAACAGAGCAAGACCTCGTCTCAAAAAACAATCAAAACTCAATAAATAAACCCTTAAAAAAAAAACAGGTCCTCAATCTCATTAATCAGCCCCAAACTGCAAATGCAGACATAAGGAGAGATCACTGCACACCCATCAGAGTGGCTGAAATGAAAGACTAATTGCACACCCAGTGTGTGCATCTGGAACCTTCAAACATTTCTGGAAGGAAATGTTTCCTAGACTGACACCCGATGGGTACGGCTGAAAGGTCAGATAGTTCCCGGGGAAACAGCTCCTTCACGACTGAGAAGCAACGGAGGAAAAGCACCCCAATCCGGGGCCAGATAGAGCTCCCAAGGTCAGGTGGCCTCCCTCATGGCTGACACAGAGCTCTGAGAGTCCCACCATAGGCTTAGAGAATCCAAGAAACAGCACCCCACTCCTTCGCAGCACTGGGAGACAGCACCCACAGATAATAATTTAAAAACCCAGCACCAAGAGAAAGCATCCGATAGGCGTCCCAATCGGGGATAAACAGATCCAAAGAAAAGCCAACACATCCTAGCTGAGAGTGAGCAACATCCAAGGCCAAATGTGACCCACGGCTGACATCAGCACCCAGCGAAGAGTCTCTCGCGGGCTGAGATAAACCCCGCGACAGAGAGTGAACCCACAGGGCAGTGATCATGTGTCCGCAGGACAGCCACCCTCACCCCAGCCCCGAACACAGACAGAGTCCCTAAGGCAGAGTCTCCCCGCAGGGTCGTGGCCAAGCGGGGAAGAAACACCGCCGCACCCGAAGGTGACACAGGCGACCAATGTAGGGTCCCCACCCCTGGGTTCAGTCATTGCACAGGAAAAGTTCGTCGCATCACTAAGAGGGAGTCCCCAAGAAAAGCTCCCCAGCCCCACAACATAACCGAGACGGGGTGTCCAAGGAAAAGACTCCCCGACAGCTGACACACGCGCCCATGGTAGTGTCCACACAGCGAAGCCGTACCACTCACCGGACAAAGAACACCCCAGAAAAGAAGCTTTCCTAGGAAAAAGGACACATTCTGGGTAGAAATTAAAGCATCCAGGGAAAAACTGCGCACTTACGTAGTCCTGAAGTCTTGACCTTGCCAGAGGAGCTGCGGCTGCACTTCCCAAAATGGCAGAGAAGTTGTGGCGCCTCCCCACTGCTGGAACTTTCTAGAAACTTGCTCTCTGGGAGTTATGGGAAGTGTGCCCCGGATGCCTGTGAGTGATGCTCATTGGGAGGCGTCCCACCAGAAGCACCAATCTGGTAAGGCTCAAGGGAGGCAGAAGGCAGGGAAGCTGCCGGCCACCGCGGGCCCCGCCCCAGCCGAACACTGGGAGCCTGTTGGGGGGGCCAGAGTCCCGAAGTGAAGCCTCGTGCACTGCGAGACCGCCGGCGCCAACCGGAAGAACCGGGAAGCGTGGCGTCCCCGCCCTTCGCTAACTCTAACCCTCTTTACGCGCAGCCTTCGGTATCGGCAGTACGGCGGACATAGGCAGAGGAACGCGGAACCTCACACAGCGGAATCAAAGGGTGAATTTGGAGCTGACGGGCAAAAACATCTTATAGTATGTTTGTCTGGCTTTGATATCAGGGTAATATTGGCCTCATAGAATGAAGTAGTGTTCCTTCCTCTTTTATTCTTTTGAAATCCTTTGCTAAGTATTGGTATTACTTCTTCCTTAAATGTTTGATAGAATTTACATGCGAAACCACCTCGGCTTGCCTTCCATTTGTGGGGAGATTTAAAATTACTAATTAAATACCTTTCCATGCTATAGTCCTATTGCAAATTTCTATTTCTTTTGAGTCACTAATTTGTTCTCTAGGAATTTCTCTGTATCACCTACGTTGTTTAATTTGTTGGCACAAAGGTGTTCATAATGTATGTCTTTAAATTTCTCGCTTTCTTTGCGTGTGTGTGCATGTGAGACGGTGTCTCGATCTTTTGCTGAAGATGGAGTGAGGTGGCGCGATCTGGGCTCATTACTTCTTCTGACTTTCTGGTTCAAGCACTTCTTCTGTCTCGGTCTCCTGGGTAGCTGGGGTTACAGGTGGCATCATATCGCCCGGCTAATTTTTTGTGTTTTAGTAGAGTCAGGGTTTCACCATGTTGGCCAGGCTGGTCTCAAACTCCTGACCTCAGGTGATCCGATGGTCTCGGCGTCCCAAAGTGCTGGGATTACGGGAGTGAGCCACCGCGCCTGGCCCCTTTTAATTTCTGTAAGGTCAGTATTCATAACACCCTTTTCATTCTTGATTTTGGTAATCTGTGTAGTCCTTTCTTTTATTCTTGGTCAGTCAAGCTAAAAGATAAGTTAGGTTTTTTTTTTCTCAACTATTCTGTGAACCAATATTTTATTTCATTGATTTTTATTTCACTGATTTTCTTTAATTTTCATCATTCCCCTCTTTCTGCTTGCTAGTATTAAATACATCAGTTTAAAACTTCAGGAATAACAAATGGTTTGTTTCATAAAGGAGGATTTGAAACCATAAACATATAGAAATGCTTATGATATTGCCAAGTAGTAGTCATTTTCGACCAGTTAACCAGAAGGAAATTTGGTATGCTGAAACCAGACAAGTTTTTTGTACCAGGTTTTATTAATTTTGAAAATATAAATCTAGTTTGTAAGAAGGTGTTTTTTGCATGAGAAGTTTGTTTTTTTAATATTTAGACTTCTCATTTTCACTTAATCCCCCAAATTTATTTTTTTAAAGCTTCGAAGCATGTATCAACCAGCACATTCACTATCCTCTTTGTGCTTTATCTCTGATAATCCTTATAAGAGCACCATGAGTTAGGTACTGTTTTATGCCCATTTTACGGAAATAGAATCTTAGGGTGCACATTTAAGTAGCTCTTTCAGGTTTAACCAGTTGGAAAAGTGACAAAATCTAGGTATGTCAGATTCCAGAGATTGCACACACAAATACTATATCACACTGCTTACTGCTGTGAGTTTGGCAGAGAATTCCTTGTTTATATGGAAATCACAAAACTGATAATATCCAGGATAATTGGCAGCAGTTTATAAACCCTCTTTACCCCTAATTTGGTGATTTTGTGTGGGGTCACCTGTCCACTAATCTAATCGGATCTTAGGCTGGTCACACTTCTGAATTTGCACACCAAGTTTGTGTGTAAGGGTACTTCTCCAGGGGAAAATATCTGTAGATTTCATCAAATTTTCCAAAGAGGGTTAGGCCCGCTACTCAGCGTTCCCTGGAAGGTAAGAGAATGCCATGTAGCCTACACCCTTCTCCACCTGAACAACTTCATACAGTTGGCTATGGCTTTACAAATGATGGGCAGGTAGGACAACTAGGAAAGTGTATGTGCTCATTAATACATACTTCTCCTTTAAGCCTGAAAAGATGAACTTGTGGAATTACAAAAATTGGCATTCTAAATATTTAATTATTAATATTTAGAATTATAGATCTTTTAGTCGGGATGGTGGCATAAGGAAGGTCAGTCTTTTCTCAAACTAAGCTGGAGGCATAAGGGATCTGTTTAACCTAGTGGTGTGAACCTACAGGAAGTCGTGATGGTAGCGTGAGTCATCACTTAGATAAAGTGAGATTTATAGATCACAGAACATGATATAGATTCTAGATATGAGATTCTAAACTCTGTTTGCTACCAAGGCACCCATTGCTAAAACAGTCTGTGATCATGTGCTCTCAGGAGGATCATATATTTCAGCTGTATAGTGCCAATTTATGTGCCAGTTATGTTCCAGGTATAAATGAAAGTGTTCTAGTAACACACAGAGATAATTATCAGACATATCTGCAGATGCCGGTTTCTCCACTTCAAACGAGTCAGCCAACTCCACCTGGAAAACGTCACACTGTTGGCTCTGTGCTTACAAATGATGGCCAGGTAAGATAACTTTCTATTTCTGCCCTAATTGTGACATTCTTAGTATAAGTATTTTCTCAGTGGAAAGATGAATATAAACTATATGTGTTAATTCTCTTGATTTAAAAGCTAAGAATATGACACAGGAATTCTCATGTGAACATAAAATGGGAACTTTTTGGTCCAAGAGTAGATTCATTGGACTAGGAGCTGATGTTTTTAATTATCACATTTAATGCTCATAATTGTTCTGCAGATGTGTATTACTATCTCGCCTTTAATGAGAAATCAAGGCTGACAGCGGTCAAATGGCTTGCCCCACGTGACACATGATAGGAGATAGAGCCAGGGTTCGAACGCATATCTTTCTGACTCCAGAGTCTATATTCTTTCCCACTCCTCAATTAATTAGACTCTTCCCTAATTTTCCGTGCCTTTATCTTCGCTTTCTTAAGGAAAGAGATAAGAATCACACCTCACTCATAGGGATTGGCCAAGGATTGACTTAATACATGCAAAGCATTTAGAACAGTACCTGGAGGGTAGTAAATGTTCAGTAAAAATGTCTTCACACATTCTCAGCTCCTCTTTTATAGGATGTGAAAATGCTTTGGAAAATTTTAAAATCAAAATTATATATTATATACGTTCTATATATTACATGATATATATATTATACGTATTTCATTAAATATATGCTGATACTCTTTCCTATTTAATGTAGGAGCATATTCGTTATTACTTCACCTATTATTTTAAGTTCTGGGGTACATGTGCAGGATATGGAGGTTTGTTACATAGGTAAATGTGTGGCACAGTGGTTTGCTGCACCTGTCAATCAATCACCTTGGTATTAAGCCCAGCATCCATTAGCTATTCTTCCTGATGTACTCTCTCCCCCCAGCCCTCCCCCAGAAAGACCCAGCGTGTGTTGCCCTACCTGATGTGTCTGTGTGTTCTCATCATTCAGCTCCCACTTAAAAGTGAGAACACGCACTGTTTGGTTTTCTTTCTCTGCATTAGTTTGTTGAGGATAATGGCTTCCAGCTCCGTCAATGTTTCTGCAAAGGACATGATCTCATTCCTTTTGATGGCTGCATAGTGGTCCCTGGTGTATATGTACTACATTTTCTTGATCCAGTCTATCATTGATGGCCATTTGGGTTGATTCCACATCTTTGCTATTGTGAATAGTGCTGCAGTGAATATACGTGTGCATATATCTTTTTTTTTTTAGCAATTGTGAATGGGAGTTCATTCATGATTTGGCTCTCTGCTTGCCTGTTTTTGGTATATAGGGATGCTAGCAATTTTTGCGCATGGATTTTATATCATGAGAGTTTGCTGAAGTTGCTTATCCTCTTCAGAAACTTTTGGACTGAGATGATGGTATTTTCTATATATGGGGCCATGTCATCTGCAACGAAAGATAACTTCATGTCCTCTTTCCCTATTTGAATACCCTTTATTTCTTTGTCTTGCCTGATTGCCCTGGCCAGAACGTCTGATACTATGTTGGATAGGACTGGTGAGGGAGGGCATCCTTGTCTCGTGCAAGTTTCAAGAGGAATGCTTCCAGCTTTTTCCCATTCGATATGCTATTGGCTGTGAGTTTGTCATATATGGCTCTTACTGTTTCGAGATGTGTTCATTCAATACCTGGTTTTTTGAGAGCTTTTTTTATTTTTTGAGACGGAGTTTCGCTCTTGTTACCCAGGTTGGAGTGCAATGGCGCGATCTCGGCTCACCGCAACCTCCGCCTCCTGGGTTCAGGCAATTCTCCTGCCTCAGCCTCCCGAGTAGTTGGGATTACAGGCAGGCGCCACCATGCCCAGCTAATTTTTTGTATTTTTAGTAGAGACGGGGTTTCACCATTTTGAGCAGGATGGTCTCCATCTCTTAACCTCGTGATCCAACCGCCTCGGCCTCCCAAAGTGCTGGGATTACAGGCTTGAGCCACTGCGCCCGGCCCGAGAGCTTTTAATATAAGGGGGTGTTGAATTTTATCAAAGGCCTTTTCTGTATCCATTGAGATAATCATGCGGTTTTTGCTTTAGTTCTATTTATGTGATGAATTACATTTATTGATTTACCTATTCTGAACTGACCTTGAGTCCTGGCAATGAAGCCAACTTGATCATGGTAGATAAGTTTTTTGATGTGCTGCTCGATTCAGTTGGCCAGTATTTTATTAAGGATATTTGCGTCATTGCTCATCAGGAACACCAGCCTGAAGTGTTTGTTGTTGCTGTATCGCTGCCAGATTTTGGTATCCAGACGATGCTGGTCTCCTAAAATGTAGTAGGAGTCCCTCCTTTTCAATTTTTTGATATAGTTTCAGTAGAAATAGTGCCAAATAGTACATTCTAAGTAGGCAGGAGCATATTCTCGGGTTATCTTTTGATGGCAGGACCTTTTAGTTAACCTAGTATATCCTTCAATTTCATGTTTTATTTACCACCAATATTTCAAAGCACCTCCTGCCCCTGCCTGGCTCCAAAATGAACATATTTGAGTCTCCATAAGGTTGGAGGTGGGAAAATTTACCTTTTTCATCGATGTTACCTTTCACTGTCTACATATATTATCGAATAAAGTGTTAATCAGTATTTGTCAATAAGTAACGTTCAACAACTAAAAAATAAAAACGGAATTTGCTTTTTTTTGTCCCCTAACAAGGGCTGAGAGACAATTATGTGTACTACATTAGAGAGATAAGCATGTTTCTTGTCTTGGTTGATGAAAGCCACTCATTCCCCAAGCACTCTGATTAATCATGACTGTACCATGTTTGACTTTGGATAACACCTTGTATTTTGCCTTCGCTTGTTTCACTGAAACTACATTATAGTTGGCTTGCCTCTTCTGGGAGCATCGTGTGTGATGATGAATCTTTGACCTTTGGCTAAAACTTAATGATATAAATGCATGGCTGTGCATGCATATGAAGACTGTGACTTTGCAATGGTTGTATTTGTCTTTAATGGAATATGTTCACTGATGTTTTTCAGCAAATGAGGAGTGACAAAGTAAATCAGGCTGCAAGAAGGCATCGAAGGAAAAGGAGTCGTTCCAGAAAATCCAAGAGACGCTATTATTCTACGACAAGGCAGGGTACGTCCCTGTGGTTACACCAACAGGAAGCTGAGGGGGAATCCAATCTTTGGGCTTCAATCGTGTCAAAGGACATTTGTGGCCTTGTCATTGAAGGATGAACAGATATGAGCACGTTTGCAAGTGGAAGGGCAAGGTTCTAATTAGGTGCAACAATTTGCAGTTACTGCAAGCGTGAGATGAATAAAGCAGGTTCCTGAGGCAGAAGGAGGTGGTGGGCACAACAAGAGGACAGGTCTGCTCACTTTCCGCCTGTCCACACACTCCTCTCTAACCCAGTGCAGTATGGCTTCTTCTTAGTCTACTCCAATGAAAATAGTGCCATCAAGGTCGCCATGTTTGTGGCACTTTGACATCAATTCCTCAACAGCATGTGACACAGTTGATTACGCCCTCCTGCACGGAAAACTTCTTGGGTCCCCAGACACCTGGATTTCTTACTCTGTTACTAAGGGCTCATTTTCCTTCTCCTTTTTTGTTTTTCTCCTCTTGCTTCCCACCTCTAAATATTTCACGGCACCAAAACTTGATCCTAGCCTCTCTTCTCTTCAATATCCTATCTCCGTAGGTGATGTCATGCTGTCTTAGAATTTTAAATGATTCACACTTCAAGAACTGTCACCATTAAACTTCTAGGCTACGACTTGCTCCTGAAATCCAAACTCATAAACAACTACACGTGTTGTATCTCTATAGGGTGTCTAATAGGCATCTACATTTCAACCAGCTCTGCAAGTTCAAATTTCTGACCTCCCTCTCTCCAAAAATACTTTACTCACAGCCTTCACTGTTTCAGTTAAAGACACTGTCCATTAGGTGAAACATCCACAAAGGTGTAACAAGCAGCTGTTCACAGGTATGGGGGTTTCAGAAGTCCTGGTTTTAGAGTTTTCAGCTGTCCGCGGTACAAATAATCCCACCATGGCCTAGTTCAAGCTGTCGACATAAGGTCACTGAACCAGAATCAGGAAGAGTTGGCAGCATTCCGCTCCCGTAGTCGGTTGCCTAACCCCTCCTGCACATCCCTGGTATACTTTTACTTAGTAGGTCACCCCAAAATACTTAAAGTCACTTATGATTTCTCTTATGATTCTTTTATTATTCTCTCATTTCCAATCTCTTATCAGTTCATCAGTCAATGCCCAGTATAAACCCTGCATCCCACCATTTCCCTCTATCCCTCCAGTGCACACTGCCGTGATCGCTGACCAAGGTAGTACAACATCTTCTTAGCTCTGTTTCTAATCTTCCCTCATCTGTAGCATACTCTCTAACCCTGTGGCTAGAAAATTATGTCAGCATGCCATTTCCCTCCTAAAACCCCATCCTCAACTCTCCCTCTCCTAACAACGGTCCCATCCATTTCCTCCTGGCTCTCTTTGCCTCTGTCTAACACCCTGTAGTGCCCGGTCCATTCCCCCTCCAGCCCCTACCCTTGGCCTCACCGCAGTCTGGAACTCTCCCTCTGCCTCTGCACAGGAGGCTCTGCTTTTTCCTCCAAGCCCTGTCCAATGGCACTTCTTCAGATGGCTCTGCCCAAGGAGCCAGAGCCCCTGAGGCTCCCTCTGCTGCTGTCTCCCTCAGGCCTGTGGACTACTTCCCAGACACCAGCCCAATGCTGCTTGTTTCATTTCCTCATTGTGTATGTCCTGTCTGACTGCCCCGTAGTGATATGAGTCCCACAAAGGCAGGGACCGTTGCTCTCTGTCCTCTTTACTGCTGATCCCCAGCTCCTGGCATGCTGCCTGCCACAGACAATGAATAAATGAAAGAGGTGACAGACCTGGAGTAAAAAGAATGTTACTTTTCCAGACAAAAGGGGAGGATCTGTAGAATCACGTAAAAACTAGGGATGTGTGATGATGGAGTGGAGATAAGAGTGTTCAACTCCAATAGCCACCTCTATTTTCTCAGAATATTTGAGGTAGAAAGGAGGCAATTTAACAAGGCCTCACTTAGTCTGGCTTTCCTGCTGCGCACAGCATGGCATGTATAGGTGAACTATAAAAGCGATATCAAGTGAGAATTGTAAAGGGCAGCAGCAGGATGATACAATATGATGAGTGCAAGAAATCTGTGAATATTTATTCTACTGTCGTACTTGCTACATACCATCGTTATGCCAAGAGATACATACGTAGTTTTATTGTGTAATCTGACCTGATACAAGCTTCCATGTGGTAAGTCCTTCTGTTTCGTGAAATGAATAATTCCATAGAAACTGATTCAAACATAGCTGTCTCTCCGGGATGATGGGACAAAACACACCTATCTTGTAACTGAGCCTCTTCATTTGGTTTCCAGATGCTAGCGTCACTCACAATGTCTGTGAAGAAAAGGTTAAAAATGGCCAACCAACACCCGATAATGTCTTTCCAACTGTTCCATCAGCGCTTATTAATATGACAGCAGCTGGTATTTCATCCCTGGGTTTCAGCGATCAGTGTAAGTTTTTTCACTTCTTATACTGTCCTATTTGGTTTCCATATACATGCATGGCGTCATGATGGAAGATGGCAATTTTGTTGTATTATCTTTTCTGGCCTCAATTTTAGGGTTCTGAGATTGCTAACTGGTATGTCCTCCTCCTTTATGAGATAATTTCCTAGAAACTGAGCATCTGAGGTGTATGCCTGTGCGGTTGACATAATGCACATAACACACAGCTCAACCACTTCATTTGGTTTCCAGATGCTGCGGTGACTCATAACGTCCATGAAGAGAAGATGAATAACGGCCAACCAGCACCTCATACCGTCTTTTCAACTGCTCCACCAGGTCTTGGTAATTTGGCAGCCCCTAGAATTTCATCCACGAGGACCAGAGATCTGTGTATCTCTGCTTCTTTATTGTACTATCCTACCTGATTTCCATAAGCAGGCATATTTTCATGAACGGTAGAAGGTGGTTTTGTTTCATATTCTTTCCTAGCCTCCATTTGGGGGATATCAGATGGCCACCTGGCATATTCTCTCCTGATTTTCTAGATAATTTTCTAGAAACTGAGCATCAGAGGGATATTCCTGTGGGGTTGACATAATGCACTTACGTCAGAGCTCAACCTCATCACTTGGTTTCCACCTACTACCGTCAATCACAATATCCATGAAGAAAGGATGGAAAATGGTTAACTGCAACCAGATAGTGTCTTGTCAAATGTTCTGTCACAGCTTATTTATATGCCAGGAGCTGGTATTCTAGTGATGAGTACCAGAGATGTGTGTCTGTTTGTTTATTAGATGTAGTATCCTATTAGGATTCCATATGCATGGGTAATGTCATGAAGAGGAGAAGGTGGTTTTGGGGAATTATCTTTCCCGACCTCAATTTGATGGAACTCGAATCATTATATGATGTCTGCTCCTGCTTTATCAGATAATTTCCTAGAAAGTGAAGATCAGAGGGATATACCAGTGAGGTTGTCATAATGCACTTACCTCACAGCTCAACCTCTTTGTTTGGTTTTCAGATGCTACTGTCACTCAAAATGTCCATGAACAGAAGATGGAAAATGGCCAACCCCAAACTGATAAAGTCTTGTCAACTGTTCCACTATGCCTTTGTCATATGACTGCAGCTGGTATTCCATCCATGAGTATCAGGGATCTGTGTATGTCTTTTAATTAGTAGTACTGAATAGTTGGTTTCCCTAACATGCATATGTTCATGAATGGTAGAAGTCGGATTTGTTGTATTTTCTTTCCTACTCTCAATTTGAGGGGTCTCAGATGGCCGCATATCTTCCTTCCTTCCTTCCTTCCTTCCTTCCTTCCTTCCTTCCTTCCTTCCTTCCTTCCTTCCTTCCTTCTTTCCTTCCTTCCTTCCTTCCTCTCATTATCTCACTTTGTTTATTTCTCTCTCTCTCTCTCTTTTTTTTTTCTTTCAAAACTGATTCTCACTCTGTCGCCCAGGCTGGAGCGCAGTGATGCTATCTCGGTCGCTGCAATCTCCACCTCCTGGGTTCAAGTGATTCTCCTGCCTCAGCCTCCTGAGTAGCTGGGATAACAGGCATGCACCACCACGCCCAGCTAATATTTGCATTTTTGGTAGAGACAGGGTTTCACCGTGTCGGCCAGGATGGTCTTGATCTCTTGACCTCGAGATCCACCTGCTTCAGCCTTCCAAAGTGCTGGGATTACGGACGTGAGCCACCGTGCCCAGCCATATCGTACCCTGTTTCTTAGATAATTTCGTAGAAACTGAGCATCAGAGGGATACACCTGTGGGACTGACATAATGCATTTACATCACAGCTCAACCTTTTCCTTTGGTTTCCAGATTCTACTGTTACTCAGAATGTCTGTGAAGAGAAGATAAAAAATGAACAAATGGCACCTGATAGATTCTTGTCAACCGTTATAGAAGGGCTTATAAATTTCGCAGGGGCTGGTATTCCAACCCTGAGTACTGGGGATCAGCGTATGTTTGTTTACTAGTTATACTGTCCTACTGGGTTTCCGTATGCATGCAGTGACATGCAGGGAAGACGGTGGTTTTGTTTTATTATTGTTTCTGGTCTGAATTTCTGGCGTCTCATTTTCCACCTAATATGTCCTGCTTTATGGGTTAATTTCATAGAAACTGACCACCAGAGGGATATACCCGTGGGGTTGACATAATGCACTTTCCTCAGAGCTTGAACTCTTCATTTGGTTTCCAGATGCTACCGTCACTCACAATATCAATGAAGAGAGAATGAAAAATGGCCAGCCCCAACCTGGTAACGTCTTGTCAACTGATTCCACAGGGCTTTGTAATATGGTAGCAACTGCTATTCCAGCCATGAGTCCCAGAGATCGCTATATGTCCGCTTATAAGTTGTACTGTCCTACTTGCTTTTCATAAGCATGCATAGTGCCTTCTGAAGGGAAGCAGGTGGTTTTGTTGTATTATATTTTCTGAACTAAATCTGAGGGGCCCCAGATATATACACCACCTTATATATCCTCCTGCTTTATGAAATAATTTCATGGAAAGTGAGCATCAGAGGGATATACTTATGATTTGGCCTAATGCACTTACCTCACAGCTCAACCTCTTCCTTTGATTTCCAGACGCTACCATCACTCACAGCGTCCATGAACAGAAGATGGAATATGTCCAACCAGCACCTGACAACGTGTTGTTGACACTTCAGCCAGGACTTATTAATATGGCAGCCACTGGTATTTCATCCATGAGTACCAGGGATCTGGGTAAGTTTGTTTGTTAGTATTACTGTCCTACTTGGTTTCCATATGCATGTATAGTGTCAAAACAGGTAGGAGGTGGTTGTGTTATACTATGTTTCCAGGCCTCAATTTCAGGGGTCTCAGATGGCAACCTGGTATATCCTCTGCTTTGTGACATAATTTCCTAGAAACTGAGCACAGATATACCTGTTGAGTTACCATAATACACTTACAGCTCTTCATTTGGTTTCCAGGTGCTACCAAAACTTATAATGTCCTTAAGGAGAAGATGGAAAAGGGCGAACCCCAACATGGCAACATCTCATCAACTGCTTTAATAGGACTTACTAATGTGGCAGGAGCTGCTATTCCAGCCATGAGTACTGATGGTCTGTGTATGTTCACTTTTTAGTTGGATTTTCCTACTTTGTTTCCATATGCATGTATATTGTCAGGAAGGAGAGATGGAGATCTTGTTGTATTATCTTTCTTGATATCAGTTTGAGGGGTCCCAGATGCCGCTCATGTCATCTTGATTTGTGCAAAAATTTCTCAGGAGCTGAGCATCAGAGGGATATACCTGTGGGGGCGGCATAATGCACCTACTCCTATCTTGACCTCTTCATTTGTCTTCCAGATGCCACCGTCAGTCACAATGTCCATGAACAGAGGACGGAAAATGACCAACCGCAACAGGAAAACGTCTGGCCAAATATTCTCGCATGGTTTTTTAATATGGCAGGAGCTGGTATTCCAGCAATGAGTACCAGGGATCTGTGTATGTTCATTTTTTACTTGTACTGTCCTCCTTGGTTTCCATATGCAGGCATAGTGCCATGAAGGGAAGAAGGTTGTTTTGTGAATTGTCTTTCTTGGCCTCAATTTGAGGAGCTGCAGATCATCATTTGATGTGTTCTTTTGCTTTTTGGGATAATTTCCCAGAAACTGATCATCAGTGGGATATACCGGTGGCATTGACGTAATTCACTTACTTCAAGCTCAAAATCTTCCTTTGGTTTCCAGATGATACCATCTCTCACAATGTACATGAAGAGAAGATGGAAAATGGCCCATCCCAAACTGGTAATCTCATGTCACCTGTTCCACCACTGCTTGGTCTTATGGTAGCAGCTGCTCTTCCATGCATGAGTACCAGGGATCTGTGTATGTCTCTTAATTAGTTGTAGTGTCATCATTGGTTTCCATATGATTGCATATTTCATGAAAGGTAGAAGGTGGTTTTATAGCATATACTTTGGTGGGATCAATTGCAGGGTTCTCACAGGGCCAACTGGCATATCCTCCCCTGCTTTATTAGATAATTTCCTGAAAACTGAGCGTCAGAGAGATAGACCTCTCTGGGGTCTATATAGGGCTGATATAATGCACTTAGCTCACAGCTGAAACTCTTCATGTGGTTTGCAGGTTTTACCATTGCTCAAAGTGTCTGTGAAGAAAAGATGAAAAGTGACAAAACAACACCTCATGAATTCTTGTCAACTATTACAGCAGGGCTTAGGAATTTCACAGAAGCAGGTATTCAACTGCCGAGTACCAGGGATTTCTGCATGTTTGTTTACTAACTACGTTGTGCTACTTGGTTTCCATAAACATGCAGTATCATGCAGGGAAAAGGGTGCTTTGGCTGTATTATCTTTTCCGACCTAAACTTGAAGGGTCTCAGATCGCCACCTGATACAGCCTCTTGTGTGATGGAACAATTTCTTAAATCTCATTGTCAGAAGGACATACATGTGGCATTGACATAAGCACTTAACTCACAGCTCAACCACTTCATTCCGTTTCCAGATGCTGCAGTCACTCACAATATCCCTGAAGCAAAGGTAAATAATGGCCAACTAGCACCTGACAACATCTTGTCAGCTGCTCCACCAGGTCTTGGCAATATGGCGGCAGCTGGAATTTCATCCACGAGGACCAGAGGTCTGTGTATGTCTGCTTCTTAGTTGTACTGTCCTACTTGGTTTCCCTAAGGAGGCATAGTCTGATGAATGCTACAAGTTAATTCTGTTGTATGTACTTTCCTAGCCTCAATTTGAGGGGTATCAGATGTCCACTTGGCATATTCACCCCAAGACTCTTTGACAATTTCCTAGAAAGTGAGGATCAGAGTGATATACCTCTGGGGTTGAATAATGTATTTACCTCACAGCTCAACCTCTTCATTTGGTTTTCAGGTGCTACAGTCACTCAAAATGTCCACAAAGAGAAGTTGAGAAATACGCAACCAACACCTAATAACGTCTTGTCAACTGTTCTACCAGAACATTCTTATTTGGCAACAGCTGGTCTCCCAGCCATGAGCACCAGTGGTCAGTGTATGTTTGCTTATTCATTTATACTATCCTACTTCGTTTTCATAGGCATGCCTACTGTCCTGAATGGGAGAAGGTGATTTTGCTGTATTCTCATTCATGAGCTGCATTTGGATGTTCTCAGATCACCATCTGGCATATCCTCTCCAGCTTTATGAAATAGTTTTCTACAAACTGAGTATCAGGAGGATATGCCTGTAGAGTTGACATAGTACACATAACTCAAAACTGAACCTCCTGATATCATTTCCAGATTCTACCATCACTCACAATGTCCGTGAGGAGAAGATTAAAAATGCCCAAACGGCAGCCAATAATGTCTTCTCAGGTATTCCACCAGCACGTATTAATATGGCAGCAGCTGGTGTTTCTTCTATGAGTACCAGGGATCAGTGTAAGTTTGCTCACTTGGCGTACTGTCCTACTTGTTTTCTATATGCATGCGTAGTGTCATGAGGGAAGAACACAGTGTTGTTGTACTATCTTCACTGGCCTCAACTTTACGGTTCTCAGACTGCTACTTGCTATGTCCTTCTTTATTATGAGATAATTTCCTCGATACTGAGCATCCGAGGGGTATGCCTGTGCGGTTGACATAATGCATGAATCACACAGCTCAACCACTTCATTTGGTTTCCAGATGCTGCAGTCACTCACAAAATCCTTGAAGAGAAGATAAATAACGGCCAATCAGCACCTGATAACCTCTTGTCAACTGCTCCACCAGGTCTTGGTAATATGGCAGCAGCTGGACTTTCATCTATGAGGACCAGAGATCTGTGTATGTCTGCTTCTTAGTTGTACCGTCCTACTTGGTTTCCCTAAGGAGGCATTGTTTGATGAATGCTACAAGTTAATTTTGTTGGATATGGTTTCCTAGCATCAATTTGAGGGGTATCAGAGAGCCACGTGGCATATCAACCCATGGATTCTTTGATAATTTCCTAGAAAGTGAGGATCAGAGGGATATACATCTGGGGTTGACACACTGCACTTCCATCACAGCTCAGCCTCTTCATTTGGTTTTCAGATGCTACCAGCATTCAAAATGTCTGCAAAGAGAAGATGGAAAATAACCAACCAACACCTAATAATATCTTGTCAACTGTTCTTCAAGGACTTCCTTATTTGGCAACAGCTGGTCTCCCAGCCATGAGCACCAGGGATCAGTGTATGTTTGCTTATTCATTTGGACTATCCTGCCTGGTTTACATAGGCATGCCTAGTGTCCTGAATGGGAGAGGGTGATTTTGTTGTATTGTCTTTCGTGAGCTGCATTTGAGTGTTCTCAGATCGCCACCTGGCATATCCTCTCTGGCTTTCTGAAATAGTTTTCTATAAAGTGAGCATCAGGAGGATATACCTGTGGGTTAACATAATGCACGTAACTCAGAACTGAACCCCTTCATTTAATTTCCAGATGGTATGATCTCTCACAATGTCTGTGAGAAGATTAAAAATGCCCAAGCAGTACCCGATAAAACCTTCCCAGCTAGTTCCCCAGCACTTATTAATATGGCAGCAGCTGTTGTGTCATCCATGAGCAACAGAGATCAGTGTACCTGTGTGCAATTGGTTTACTATCCTACTAGGTTTCCATATGCGTGCATAGTGTCATGAGGGAAGAATGTAGTTTTGTTGTACTATCTTTCCTGGCCTTAATCTTAAGGTTCTCAGAGTGCTACTTGGTATGTCCTTCTTCTTTATGAGATAGTTTCCTGGATACTGAGCATCAGAGGGGTATGCTGTTGTTGACATAATGCACTTACCTCACAGCCCAGCCATTTCTGTTCGTTTCCAGATGCTGCAGTCACTCACAATGTCCGTGAAGCCAAGATAAATAACGGCCAACTAGCACCTGACAACGTCTTGTCAGCTGCTCCACCAGGTCTTGGTAATATGGCAGCAGCTGGAATTTCATCCACGTGGACCACAGGTCTGTGTCGGTCTGCTGCTTTGTCTTACCACCCTACTTGATTTCCCTATGGAGACATAGATCGATGAATGCTACAAGTAAATTTTGTTGTATACACCTTCCTAGCATCAATTTGAGGGGTATCAGATAGTCCCAGGACATATCCAAAACTCCGGTCTTTGATAATTTCCGAGAAACTGAGGATGAGAGGGATATACATCTAGGGTTGACATAATGTACTTACCTTACAGCTCAACCTCTTCATTTGGGTTTCAGATGCTACCATCACTCAAAATGTCCGCAAAGAGAAGATGGAAAATAACCAACCAACACCTAATAATGTCTTGTCAACTGTTCTCCAAGGACTTCCTTATTTGGCAACAGCTGGTCTCCCAGCCATGAGCACCAGGGATCAGTGTATGTTTGCTTATTCATTTGGACTATCCTGCCTGGTTTTCATAGGCATGCCTAGTGTCCTGAATGGGAGAAGGTGATTTTGTTGTATTATATTCTGTGAGCTGCATTTGAGTGTTCTCAGATCGCCACCTGGCGTATCCTCTTCAGCTTTATGAAATAGTTTTCTAGAAACTGAGTATCAGGAGGATATGCCTGTAGATTTGACGTAGTACACATAACTCAAAACTGAACCTCCTGATTTCATTTCCAAATTCTACCATCACTCACAATGTTTGTGAGGAGAAGATTAAAAATGCACAAACAGCACCCAATAATGGTTTCTCAGCTATTCCACCAGCACGTATTAATATGGCAGCAGTGGGTGTTTCGTCCATGAGTACCAGGGATCAGTGTAAGTTAGCTCACTTGGCATACTGTCCTACTTGATTTCTATATGTATGCGTAGTGTCATGAGGGAAGAATACAGTGTTGTTGTACTATCTTTATTGGCCTCAAATTTACGGTTCTCAGACTGCTACTTAGTATGTCCTTCTTCTTTATGAGATAATTTCCTCGATACTGAACATCAGAGGGGTATGCCTGTGCGGTTGCCATAATGCACATAACGCACAGCTCAACCACTTCATTTGGTTTCCAGATGCTGCGGTTACTCACAACGTCCGTGAAGCGAAGATAAATAATGGTCAAGTACCACCTGAGAACATCTTGTCAACTGCTCCACCAGGGCTTGGTAATTTGGCAGCTGCTGGAATTTCATCCACGAGGAGCAGAGATCTATGTATGTCTGCTTCTTAGTTGGACTGTCCTACGTGGTTTCCCTAAGGAGGCATTGATTGATGAAGGCTGCAAATTAATTTTCTTGAATATAGTTTCCTAGCATCAATTTGTGGGGTATGAGATAGCCACGTCGCATATCCTAACCTGGTTTCCTTGATAATTTCCTAGAAACTGAATATGAGAGGAATATAAATCTGGGGTTGACATAATGTACTTACCTTACAGCTCAACCTCTTCATTCGGTTTTCAGATGCTACCATCACTCAAAATGTCCTCAAAGATAAGATGGAAAATAACCAACCAACACCTAATAATGTATTGTCAACTGTTCTCCAAGGACTTCCTTATTTGGCAACGGCTGGTCTCCCAGCCATGAGCACCAGGGATCAGTGTATGTTTGCTTATTCATTTGGACTATGCTACTTGGTTTTCATAGGCATGCCTAGTGTCCTGAACGGGAGAAGGTGATTTTGTTGTATTATATTCTGTGAGCTGCATTTGAGTGTTTTCAGATCGCCACCTGGCGTATCCTCTTCAGCTTTATGAAATAGTTTTCTAGAAACTGAGTATCAGGAGGATATACCTGTAGAGTTGACATAGTACACATAACTCAAAACTGAACATCCTGATTTCATTTCCAGATTCTACAATCACTCACAATGTCTGTGAGGAGAAGATTAAAAATGCGCAAACGGCACCCAGTAAGGTTTTCTCAGCTATTCCACCAGCACATATTAATATGGCAGCAGCGGGTGTTTCGTCCATGAGTACCAGGGATCAGTGTAAGTTAGCTCACTTGGCGTACTGTCCTACTTGATTTCTATATGCATGTGTAGTGTCATGAGGGAAGAATACAGTGTTGTTGTACTATCTTTACTGGCCTCAACTTTACGGTTCTCAGACTGCTACTTGGTATGTCCTTCTTTATGAGATAATTTTCTGGATACTGAGCATCAGAGGGGTATGCTGTGGTTGACATAATGCACTTACCTCACAGCCCAGCCATTTCTGTTGGGTTTCAGATGCTGCCGTCACTCACAATGTCCGTGAAGCGAAGATAAATAACGGCCAACTAGCACCTGACAACGTCTTGTCAGCTGCTCCACCAGGTCTTGGTAATGTGGCAGCGGCTGGAATGTCATCCACGAGAACCACAGGTCTGTGTAGATCTGCTTCTTAGTTGTACTGTCTGACTTGATTTCCCTAAGGATGCATAGATCGATGTATGCTACAGGTTAATTTTGTCATACACATGTTCCTAGCGTCAATTTGAGGGGTATCAGATAGCCACATGGCATATGCAACCCTGCTGTCTTTGATAATTTCCTAGAAACTGAGGATCAGACGGACATACCTCTGTGGTTGACATAATGTACTTACCTCACAGCTCAACCTCATCGTTTGGTTTTCAGATGCTACCGTCACTCAAAATGTCCGCAAAGAGAAGATGGAAAATAACCAACCAACACTTAATAACATCTTGTCAACTGTTCTCCAAGGACTTCCTTATTTGGCAACAGCTGGTCTCCCAGCGATGAGCACCAGGGATCAGTGTATGTTTGCTTATTCATTTGGACTATCCTACTTAGTTTTCATAGGCATGCCTAGTGTCCTGAACGGGAGAAGGTGATTTTATAGTATTATCTTCAGTGAGCTGCATTTGAGTGTTCTCAGATCGCCATCTGGCATATCCTCTTCAGCCTTTTGAAATCGTTTTCTAGAAACTGAGTATCAGGAGGATGTACCTGTAGAGTTGACATAGTACACATCACGCAAGACTGAACCTCCTGATTTCATTTCCAGATTCTACCATCACTCACAATGTCCATGAGGAGAAGATTAAAAATGCCCAACCAGTACCCGATAAAAGCTTCCCAGCTAGTTCCCCAGCACTTATTAATATGGCAGCAGCTGTTGTGTCATCCATGAGCACCAGGGATCAGTGTACCTTTGTGCAATTGGTTTACAATTCTACTAGGTTTCCATACGCGTGCATAGTGTCATGAGGGAAGAATGTAGTTTTTTTGTACTATCTTTTCTTTTTTTTTTAATTTTTTATTGGTTTTTAGGTTTTGGGGTACATGAGCAGAGCATGGAAGACAGTTGCGTAGGAACACCCATGGCAGTAGGAACACACATGGCAGTGTGCTTTTCTTTCCTTCTCCCCTTCACCCACATTTGGCATTTCTCCCCAGGCTATCCCTCCCCACCTCCCCCTCCCACTGGCCCTCCCCTTTTCCTCCCAATAGACCCCAGTGTTTAGTACTCCCCTTTCTGTGTCCATGTGTTCTCATTTTTCATCACCCCCCTATGAGTGAGAATATGTGGTGTTTCATTTTCTGTTCTTGTGTCAGTTTGCTGAGGATGACGTTCCCCAGATTCATCCATGTACCTACAAACGATACAAACTCATCATTTCTGTTTGCTCCATAATATTCCACGGTGTATATGTGCCACATTTTTCCAATCCAGTCTATTATCAATGGGCATTTTGGTTGATTCCAGGTCTTTGCTATTGTAAACAGTGCTGCAATGAACATTCGTGTACATGTGTCCTTATAGTAGAACGATTTATAGTCTTTTGGATATATACCCAGTAATGGGATTGCTGGGTCAAATGGAATTTCGATTTCTAAGACCTTGAGGAATCGCCACACTGTCTTCCACAATGGTTGAACTAATTTACACTCCCACCAACAGTGTAAAAGTGTTCCTTTTTCTCCACATCCTCTCCAGCATCTGTTGTCTCCAGATTTTTTAATGATCGCTATTCTAACTGGCGTGAGATGGTATCTCAATGTGGTTTTGATTTGCATCTCTCTGATGACCAGTGACGATGAGCATTTTTTCATATGATTGTTGGCCTCATATATGTCTTCTTTCGTAAAGTGTCTGTTCATATCCTTTGCCCACTTTTGAATGGGCTTGTTTGTTTTTTTCCTGTAAATCCGTTTGAGTTCTTTGTAAATTCTGGATATCAGCCCTTTGTCAGATGGGTAGACTGCGAAAATATTTTCCCATTCTGTTGGTTGCCGATCCACTCTAGTGACTGTTTCTTTTGCCGTGCAGAAGCTGTGGAGTTTCATTAGGTCCCATTTGTCTATTTTGTCTTTTGTTGCCCATGCTTTTGGTGTTTTGTTCATAAAGTCCTTGCCTACTCCTATGTCCTGGATAGTTTTGCCTCGTGGCCTCAATCTTAAGCTTCTCAGACTGCTACTTGGTATGTCCTTCTTCTTTATGAGATAATGTCCTAGATACTGAGCATCAGAGGGATATGCCTGTGACGTTCACAGGATGCACGTACCTCACAGCCCAGCCATTTCTGTTGGTTTCCAGATGCTGCAGTCACTCACAATATCCGTGAAGTAAAGATAAATAACATCCAACTAGCACCTGACAACGTGTTGTCAGCTGCTCCACCAGGTCTTGGTAATATGGCAGCAGCTGGAATTTCATCCAGGAGGACTGGAGGTCTGTGTATATCTGCTTCTTAGTTGTACTGTCCTACTTGATTTCCCTAAGGAGGCATAGTTTGATGAATGCTACAAGTTAATTTTGTTCTATATAGTTTCCTAGCATTAATTTGAGGGGTATCAGATAGCCACGTGTCATATACTACCCTGATTTCTTTGATAGTTTTCTAGAAACTGAGGATCAGAGGGATATACCTGTGCGGTTGACATAATGCACTTTAATCACAGCTCAACCTCTTCATTTGGTTTTCAGATGCTACCATCACTCAAAATGTCCACAAAGAGAACATGGAAAACAAGCAACCAACACCTAATAACGTCTTGTCAACTGTTCTCCAAGGACCTCCTTATTTGGCAACAGCTGGTCTCCCAGCCATGAGCACCAGGGATCAGTGTATGTTTGCTTATTCATTTGGACTATCCTACTTGGTTTTCATAGGCATGCCTAGTGTCCTGAAAGGGAGAAGGTGATTTTGTTGTATTATATTTCGTGAGCACATTTGAGTGTTCTCAGATGCCCATCTGGCATATTGTCTCTGGCTTTTTGAAATAGTTTCCTAGAAACTGATCATCAGGGGGATACACCTGTGGGCTGACATAATGCGCTTAAATCAAAACTTAACGTCTTCATTGTCTTTCCAGATTCTACCATCACTCACAACGTCCATGGGGAGATGATTAAAAATGCTGAAGCAGAACCCAATAATATCTTCTCAACTATTCCCCCAGCACTTATTAATATGGGAGCAACTGGTTTTTCATCCATGAGTACCAGGGATCAGTGTATGTTTCTTCACTCGATATAGTGTCCTACTTGGTTTCTATATGCATGCACAGTGTCATGAGGAAAGAATCTAGTGTTGTTGCACTATCTTTCCTGGCCTCAATTTTAGGGTTCTCAGATTGCTACCTGCTATATCCTTCTCCAAGTGATAATTTCCTAGATGCTGAGCATTTGAGGGCTATGTCTGTGTGGTTTCCATAATGCAAGTAACTCACAGCTCAGCCATTTCATTTGGTTTCCAGATGCTGCAGTCACGCACAGCGTCCGTGAAGAGAAGAGAAGTAACAGCCAACCGGTACCTGATAACGTCTTGTCAACTGCTCCACCAGGGCTTGGTAATATGGCAGCAGCTGGAATTTCATCCAGGAGGACCAGAGATCTGTGTATGTCGGCTTCTTAGTTGTGCTGTCCTACTTGCTTTCCCTAAGCAGGCATAATTTCATGGATGGTAGAGGGTAATTTTGTTGTATATACTTTCCTAGCCTCAATATGAAGGGTATCAGAGGGCAACTTGTCATATCCACCCCTGCTCTCTTTGATAATTTCCTAGAAAGTCAGCATCAGAGGGATGTACCTGTGGGGTTGAAATAATGCACTTACCTCACAGCTCAACCTCTTTATTTGGTTTTCAGATGCTATAGTCAATCTCAATGTCCATGAGGAGAGGATGGAAAATGGCAAATCCGCAACCGCATAATATATAGTCAAATGTTCCTTCAGGGCTTACTAGTATGGCAGGAGCTGCTCTTCTGGCCACGAGTACCATACAACTGTGTATCTTCTCTTATTAGTTGGATTTTCCTATTTGATTTCAGTATATGCTCATAGTGTCATAAATGGGAGAAAGTGGTTTTGTTGTATTCTCTTCCTTAAGTTCAATTTGAGGGGTCTCAGAACACTGCCGTCGTGTCCTCCTGCTCCATGCAATAATTTATTAGAAGCTGTGCATCATAAGAGTATACCTGTGTGTTTAAATAAGGCATTTATTTCACAGCTTGACCTGGTCATTTTGCTTCCAGATGCTACCACGACTCACAACATCTGTGAGGAGAGGATGGAAAATGCCCAACTGCAATTTAGTAACATCTTGTTAACTTTTCCACCAGGGTGTATTAACATGGCAGCAGCTGGTATTCTAGCCATGAGTACCAAGGATCTGTGTATGTTTGTTTATAAGTTGGAATGTCTCACTTGGTTTTCATATGTATGCATAGTGTCATCAAGGGAAGGAGGTTGTTCAGTTGTACCTTCTTTCGTGAGCTCAATTTGAGTGTTCTCAGATCGCCACCCAGCATATCCTCTCCTGCTGCATGAAATATTTTCCTAGAAACTGAGCGTCAGAGGGATATACCTGTAGGGTTACCATAATACACTTACCTTACAGCTCAACCTCTTCATTTGGTTTCCAGATGCTGCAGTCACTCACAATGTCCATGGAGAGAAGATGAACAATGGTCAAAGAGCACCTGAGAACTTCTTGTCATCCATTACACCAGGGCTTATTATTGTATCAGGAGCTGGTACTCCACCCATGAGTACCAGGGCTCAGTGTATGTTTCCTGGTTGTTTCTGCTTGGTTTCCTACTTGGTTTCCATAATCATGCAGGGTCATACATCAAACAAGGTCGTTTTATTATATTATCTTTTGTGAGCTCATTTTGGGAGGTCTCAGATAGCCACCTGGTATATCCTTCTGCTTAATGAGATCATGTTCTAAAAACTGAGCATCAGAGGGATATACCTGCAGGGTTGTTGTAATGCACTGACCTCACAGCTTGACGTCTTCTCTCGGTTTCCAGTTGCTACTGTCACTCATAATGTCCGTGAAGAGAAGATGGAAAATGGCCAACAAGCACCTGATAACATTTTGTCAGCTGTTCCACCAGGGCTTATTAACATGGCAAAAGCTGGTATTCCAGCCATGAGTAGCAATGATCTGTATATGTTAGCTTATAAGTTGGATTGTCCTCCTTGGTTTCCACATGCATGCATGGTGTCATGAAAGGGAGGAGGCAATTTTGTTGTATTATCTTTTGTGACCTGAATTTAGGGTTTTCAGAACACCACCTGGCCTGTCCTGCTTTATGCAATGATTTCCTAGAAACTGAGCATCGGGAATATACCCGTAGGGTTGACATCATGTATTTTTCTCACAAGTCATTTGGTTTCCACATGCTACCATCACTCACAATGTCGGTGAAAAGAAGATAAAAAACAGCCAACTAGCACCTGATAACTTCCTGCCCACTGTTACACCAGGGCTTAATAATTTGGCAGGAGCTGGTATCATAGCCAAGACTACGAGGGATCTGTTTACTAGTTGTACTTCCTACTTGGTTTCCATATGAATGCATAGTGTCATAAAGAGAAGAAGGTGGTTTTGTTGTATTATCTTTTCTTGCCTCAATTTCAGGGTTCTCTGGTTGCCACCTGGTATATACTCATGCTTTATGGGATAATTTTCTAGAAACTGAGCATGAGCGGGATATACCTGTGGGGCTCTCATTATGCACTTAACCTCACAGCTCGGCCTCTACATTTTTTTTCCAGATGCCACCATCTCTCACAATGTCCATGAGAAGAAGACGAATAATGGCCAACAAGCACCTGATAACTCCTCATCAGCGGTTCCACCAGGGCGTAGTAATCTGTCAGGAGCTGGTGCTTCATCCAGGAGTAGCAGGGATCCGTGTATGTTTGTGTATTGGTTGTACTGTCCTACTTGGTTTCTGTATGCATGCATAGTGTCCAGCAGGGAAGCAGGTGGTTTTGTTGTATTGTCTTTTTTGAGCTCAGTCCGAGGGGTCTGGTATCGCCACCTTGTATATCCTCCTGCTTTCTGACATAACTTCCTCGAAACTGAGCCTCTGAGGGATATACCTGTGGGAGTGACATAATGCACTTACCTCGCAGCTCAATTTTTCCATTTGGATTCCAGATGCTACTGTCATTCATGATATCCAGAAGGAGATAGAAAATGGTCAGACCCTACCTGATGGCTTCCTGTCAGATTCTGCTCCCCCAGAGCTTATAAATATGACAGGATACTGTATGCAACCCAACACATTAGATTCTTTGTCTTACAACTGCACTAGTCTCAGCAAAGATAAGCTGCTTTACAAACCTGATAGTAACAAATTTGTGGTAGGAGCCCAAAACTACCGTGTCTCTGCAGGTGATTCACCAGTCACAGCAAGGTCTCCGGTGGAAACTGTGCCAAATACAGCACGAATATCTCCTGCTATGGCAAAGAAAGTTAATGATGATATAAAACATCAATTGATGAAAGAAGTTCGAAGGTGTGGGCGAAGTAAGTAGTGCAAGAATGTCTATCAATGAAAGCCTGAGAAGTCTCCCATTCTATGATTTAGAACACAATTATGCTTCCCCTTGAGCTCATCGTTTGGCTAAATTGGATCTGTCTGTAATTTAGCAGGGCTTCTATTTAATTTCACTGAAAATTTCAAATACATCTGCTTAGGTGTTTTTCTTTGTTAGTGTTCACAATAGTTTCCTTAGTAATATACTGATGTGATTTAAGCATTCAAAACACAAACGCTGTGTAACATTGTAGCCCATAAAAAATGTATACTGCGGTAGTGGATGCAATGAGATTGAAGTATATTTCATTTTCATAATTTTAGAAATACTAACATTTTAATACCTTCAGATTATGAAAGAATTTTCATTTTGCTTGATGAAGTACAAGGATCTATGGAAGTCAAGAAACAACTTGTTAAATTTGCCATTAAGGAAGCAGCAAGGTGGGTGCCAAAAGGAAACTCTTCTATTGTTTTAAGCACTTGTGCCCAGTTTGGGACAGGAGCAGGAACAAATCATGCCTTGTTCTTCCTAATCCCTGGCCCTCAGTCATAGTTCATGCTATTTCCCCAAGCATTTAGGTTGATATTTTCTTATTCTAACCCCTTTTTCCAATGCCATGGAGCCTTCCAAATTTATGATAATCTGGGAGTGGGTGTGGGCCCTCAGGTGACTCACTTGGTCTTTTTCTAGTTTGTATTTTCCATGAGCATCTATTTTCTATCTGCATGTACATTGTAAAGTCTGTTTTGTATCCACTACTACCTCTTACACATCACAGATGCCGTGGGTATCCTCTGGTTAATGGAATACCTCTTTCATTTCAGGCTTAAAAATTTTGCCTTAATTCAGCAACTCAAGAAGGTGCTAAAAGAGTAGATTCCCACTGCCATCTCAGCAAAGTTAAGCACATGAGAAAAAATAATTGTGTTAATGCAAATACCAAGGAGAAACAAGGACATGTGCTGTAAAGTGGAGTAGGTCATTGCTGAAGCTTCCTGTAATTTTGAAGTGAAGAAAATTCCCTTCCTGAAGCTAAGAAAAGATGGAGCTTTTGAAATTTAGTAAATTTCTGTTAGTAAAAGCTAGACTTTTGTGGTTTGTTTTTTGGTTTATTCTTCCACCTGAGGAGGGATACGAGTTGATAAATCACCAATGTATTTAGTATTACGGTCATGGTTTCTGCATAGTTGTAGCCGGTATTTATAACTGCCTTCGTTCACTACCCATTTTTCATTCCCTTTGCCCTGAGATAGTATGTCATCTGGTCATGGTGCTTGACCTGGCAGGATGACTCAAACCTTCATCACTGAACAGTCTGAAGGACCATTAGATACCTGCCTGGATTGGGTTGCTGTACTTTTCCATTAAGTGTAATCAG